ATGAAAGTATAACTGTATATTCCTCCTTTTCCATGTGTTTTCTCCACTCCTTTAGTATTTTTGTATCTTGTTCTTACGTTAAAAAGTAATTTTTGTTTTTAGATATTGTTCTTTGCAGTATGTAAATAACCAATACAAAATTTGTATTAAATTTGAAATTTTATAATCAAATATCTAGCTATAATACAAGTTACAACTACGAGTACATCTATGAATGTGCATTAATCCGCAATTAATAACGACCGTTGGCAGGACTAACCATAAACACACCGTGTACCCTCTAGATGCAGAGGACTTGACAGGTGTCATCATCTTAGCTTCTCTCTGTTCGAGACAACATGGTTCGCGATCGGGACGCGTACATAATGTGGCGCACGTGATCGTTATGATCTTAATATAGCAAATTAACAAAGTAGTAACTAGAGTGAAAGAGAACTAACCCAATTTGTCAATGGCAATATCAAGTGGTTATTGATCTTGTTTTCTTTCAAAAGAGGATAATTTTAATTCAACTCATTTAGAAAAATATATATTCATAAAATTTGATCCCATACAGAAGAGCTATTATATTCATAGTATAAGACTTGGTCCCATACAAAAGAGGTTAGATATTCATAGTATGTGATGTGACTGGTTTGGTGGAGTGGTAAGTGCGATCGTACCGTTCTAACTCCTAATATATGGCGTTTTCTCATTAAGAGCATCCTTAACTTTAACCTCTTTAAAGTCTTAAATTATTTTTTAATATTAATTTTACTATGATCTCTTTCATTAAAGTGTCTAAAGTGTCAATACATAGAACTCATTTCATTAAAATGTCTAAAAATTTATTATATTTTAATTAAAATTGTGTTAAGACATTTACTAAAATTTTTCCATTAAAGATGCTCTAAGTGCCTGATTTTTTGTTCACGTATATATCATTAAGTGTGTGGCTGTATTATTTAACTTTGAAACTGCCGTGAAAAGAAAGCTATTGTGGTGGTAGGGATGGGATCAACTAATGCATTTGCATATTAGACAATTCTATTTTTGTGGTGGATAACAATCGGCTTCCGTAATTTGATCAATTTCATATCATCCTCATCAGTTTAACTATTACAATAGTCAATAAATACATGTGCATGCAACGCTCATATTCGCAACCGAATCATAGGACTTTTAATGC